TTTTTTGAAGTCCAAGTACACACAATCCACCCAGCTGACTCTTTCTTGTAATATTTCAGATTGTCGAAAAATCAGGAGATCGGCTACACAAGACCTTTCTTTTCTAAACCTAAATTGGTTATTTGATATCATTTCGTGTTTTTTCAGGTATTTCAACCCATTGTTTCCTAATCATCCTTTCTAAAAGCTTGAATACAACACTAGTTAATGAATCTGGTCTATAATTTAGAGGGTTTTCTTTGTCGCCGCTCTTATAAAGGGTGTAACGCTGGCGAGTTTCCAACTTTTTAGTTTTTCTTTTCACACTGAATTTTGGAATATTTACAATAAAGGAGTACATATTTCTTGGGCAGATCCCCCAAGAACCCAGTAATAAATCTCATCTGGTCCCTCTGCTTTGGTGTTGTCCGTTCCTATTAGTAGATCTTTTATTTCATTCTTTTTGAGGGTAATGTTTTCGATGTTCTTTACCTTTGTACGAGTATTTGTTGTTTCAAAGTATGGGTCTTGAACAAACACCGAGTGAATTTTTCATGAAGGATTTCACACATTTCCTCCTTAGTATTAACGATGTCGCTGTATTTGTATTTAATAGGATCTCTACTTTTAGCTTTACTCTTTATGTAGTTAGAGATGTGCTTTAGCTGACTTGTACATTTAATGACTATATCCTTTTCAAAGTCTTATTTCGCCTCCCTCATGGTTTGGGTATACTCGTTTCTTCCTACTTTATATCTTTCCTACGCTGCCTGAGATCTATGTCCTCTTAATCTTTTCCAAAGGAGCTGCTTGTTTTCTCTCTTTTTCTTGCATTTATTTTTGAATCCTTATTGCCCATTCCTTGCATCAGATTCTGAATCATTTTGCCCATTTCTTGCATCAGTTTTGAATCTTAATATATTTTTTCTGTTCTTTTATACACTGCAAATATTTTAATATTGCACAAGGTCCTCATCGCCCAGAAACGTTTCCCAGTTTATGACAAAGAAATATTTAAAGCTTCTAGAATCACCTCTCTTGGAATTGTACTTCTTTCTTTCCTTACTTACGATGAGTTACTCCTGTAGTAGACAGTATTTAACTTCAATTACTACATGGTCACTTTTTACTAAAGGAGGACAGTATTCGATATCCCAAATATCATTATGCTTTATGAATAATAGATCAAGTATAGACGGTCTATCTAGCCTTCTTACCCTGGTATGATCCATTCCATTCTGGAAAAGGCAATACTCATTTATGATTTCTAGTAATTTAGCATTCTACGAATGTGAGATAGAAACTTCCCCAGTCAATTTTGCTATTAAGATCCCCTGTGATAAGAATTTCCTTTGCATTGGTTTCCGAAAGTTGTAGCACTTCTTCCAGGCTCTTTAATGTCTCTTCAATTAGTTTTTGGTAATTTTCTTGTGACTGCACCGCTGTCTGAGGCGGCACTTTGGTTATTATATCTTCCCCGCTTGTTTCTACCTCAATTGCCTTCGGTTCACTTTGGGATCTTGCTTACTTTCTAACAACTTTATAATAATTACTTTCCTTGTTAATATTGCTACCCCCTTCATTTCCATTTGCCTCTCTCTCTCTCTCTCTCTCTCTCTCTCTCTCTCTCTCTCTCTCTCTCTCTCTCTCTCTCTCTCTCTCTCTCTCTCTCCTCTCTCTCTCTCTCTCTCTCTCTCTGTGTGTGTGGTGTGTGTGTGTGTGGGTGTGCGTGCGTGCATGTATATACTCGAGCTCACACATGCACGCATATATAGAGCGTGGTCGGCAATTAAATCATGGACTCACTAAAATGTTCCAATATTAAAGACAAAACAACAAGTATTTATCTACAGGATGCCTAACTTGTCTTATAAACTTTGATATATTTTAGCCAGAATAAAGGTGAAACCGAAACATATTGGAACACTTAAATATAAACAACTTGGAGAAATTACATGCCAACAGTTATACAGTACATTGTATATTAGATAATTAGTTACAACTCCCCTACGTGGAGCGGGTATCATAAGGCTCCATTAGAATATTAGTTAAGTTTTTGGTGTGAGGGAATGAAAATTAATGACAGATGGCTAAAAAAAATGAGGATTTAAATAGATTACTTGTTGCTGACCGTTATTTCAACAAAACACATCTGTTGCACATTTTGATGCACGATTTCATTATTCATTTCAAATCTGTAGACTTCCTCGCTGCACTTTTTCCATGGAAATTTATAACACAAGTTTCTTCAGACAGAATGCGAGTAACAACTGACAAGGAACAGCAAGAAAGTCAGAATGACGCAATTCTATTACGTAAGGTACATCACTTTGGCGACCGGCAAACAAATATGATACCGAATGAACAAAA